ACTTGACCTATGAAATGAAACCACACATAGCTTCACAGTACATCATAGCATATTAAAATTTTCATTTCATAAAAAAGCGCAGTAAATAACAATTAGCATACATTTTAATTTTCAAAGTAACAACTAGACGCGGCTGCTCGTAAAAACTTACAGTATGGGAAAATATTGACGGCTACACACGCTACGTGTTACGCAAATTACTAGGAGCGAAATATTACCTTCTGCTTTGCTAAAAATAAATAAAATGTACCGTTTTGTTGAGTGATATTAGTATTAAAAATATATTTTGAATGCAACTTTTGGACAGTTTTGCTTTGCTTTTTTCCCATATAGGTATGTACCTAATAGTATTATGTAATCAGAGTTTGAAATAGTGCGCGACTGCCTGGTGTAAACCATTAATCTCGCTACTGTCAAAAAGCTAAATTTCTAAAATTCCTAAGTAATAAAATGACTCCCCTAGTACATGAGACTCATACCATAACAAGGAAAGTAAGAAAGAAACATAGAATAGATAGAAAGAAGGAATGAAAAAGCATTTATTCGACAAATTATGCTAGCAAATAAAACATGGCATCGTATACACCTAGGTGATATATTTTTTGTAATTGGGCCTCTGCCTACCCCTTTAAAGTCGAAAAGGTATGACATTATATGTTACTTACGCACAACTGAACATAAAAATCCCTAGAACATAAGACTTGTCAATGAATTTCATGTCGGTATGACTCAGACAAAAAAATGGGCAAGGCCTGTTTCTCGGTAATCTTGAAGTAATCGTCCGATATGCCGTTTATTAATTGCCCTAGAACGATTACCAACAAAGCTATGACAATTAGAATTATGGCGCTGCACGGCACATTATGCAAAATACCACTAGCTTAATTGGTTTTGGTGGAAGCGGGGGGAGGGGAGACCTACAAAATGTTTGGAATTTTGGTTAGAGGAGGCTGTTTATAGAGCCGACATTTTGACATTGGAGGTGTCTTAAATGACAATATATCGATTGTTATATGTAAAATATTTGTTTTCAATGAAATGATTTAGGTAGTAGTTTTTATTCTCAAAGAAAAACCACGTATATTAATCACTTTTAGAAAATTAAGGTATTACTCCTTTTCAGTTCTGTACATTTTAATCTAGGGTTTAGGTTTTTGCTACTATTTGTAAGGATCAATTTATATGAGTATAAAGAAACAGCGGCGTAGCAGATGCAGTATCAGGTAAAGAAGTTGTATTTCGATTGAACTATAAAAAACGTACGTACATACGTTATTATTGTTACACCTGTGTCGAACAAAGTATGAACCGGAACTGAAACATCAGTTATTGATACAATTCAATAATAAAACATTTATGTCCATGTAAATTTAAATATTCGTTCAGATTTTATTAATAAATATAATTTATTTTAACGTACAAAGCAAATTGATCAATTATTTTATTAAACTCTCACTCGAATTATTAACTGTTTGTAAAAGTTGTTGTGTACAAAGAAATATGTACATTGTACAATGTATTTAATTACAATTAATAAATTGTTCAGATGTAATATTTACATAATTATGAAGTTACATAAAATATTAAACATCGTTTCTTTTTGTTTTGTACAATATTATATGATAAGTTTATCTTTCATTTCTTTAAGGTAATTTAATATCCTAAACGACCTTCATGTTTGGTATCGATTTATAGCTCTTTTCTCAAACTCGGTACCTTAACCACACTAATGTCTAATTAAACTTTTCTTTAACTTAAACTTAAAGGGCTGGGTATATTCTGCATTGCAGCTGTTTACAGGAAACAAACCAGCAATGTTTTATTGAAAAACTAGTCTGTTCAAAATGTTTATACTGTTATTAGGGCTGAGTGGCTAATTGGAGAAATATAAGCCAAAAGCATCCATGACATTTTATTAGAAGAAAAATACTTTTAAGGAATAATGCAGAGGATTGTTTTTTAGCTGTGAAAAACCATAGCATATCATTCCAGAGTCTTGCTGTGCGAGGTAGAAAGGTACGAGAGAAGCGCACAGTTGTGGCCTCCAACCATCTATATAATGGGGGATGGATGGTCGTGAGGGTCGATGGCGAAAAGACGCGGCAGGCATCAGACCAAAAAATTCCTCAGAATACTCCCCGTAATACAAGCGATAGAATATGCAATAGATAAATAAAAACATTACCCTCCTTCTTTGGCAGTCGGGTAAAAAGAAGAAAAAAAACTAAAAAAAATTAACCTCAATTAGGCGTACTCGTCCACATCACTGTCACCACTGAATTTGTGTATCATGTGTATCATACTATATAATATGTATAAATCAAAGAGACACCATGATAAACTGGTTTTATATAGCTTTGTGTAGGAGGTAATTCAAAACTGAAAATTTCTTTCTGAAATTGCATAATATCTGAACGTTGCCTCTTATCATCTGAGATAGACAGCAGACCATTATCAACGAGGCAATCAGTCTCAATTGCACAAAGCGGAAAATCGGATTATACCCTAAGTTACGGAGATTTATTTAGGCCATGTGAAGAATTATAGGACATTTCGATTTGTAAATTATTGGTAGCTGTGTACTGCGTTTGACAATAGATATTTCACATAATTAGTCGAACAACCTATGGCCAAACTCTACAAGCAAAAAGTACAACAAACATATAAATAATTCGTCACTGAAGTAATTGATTCTAAACAAAATATGTATGGAAAATAGTAGATCGTGCTCTTTAGTTCCTACCTAATTAGGGCATGATTTGATACAAAGTACAAAAAAAGCAGAAACTAAATTAAATATTATCATTATGGCCCGTAAATGCCCACTGATGAGCAAAGTTATAATACAGTGAAGGTTTAAGCATTAATGTACAGACTTGCTCAAAGTAGGTTGGCATTTAATCTAATATCTTTGATAGTCAATCCAAATAAAAATAGGACTAAAAGTCCACAGCACAGGTAAGTAACAGATAAACATGTTCCCGTATTCAGCTTCAACAAATACGTAAATGTAGGAATAAAAATAAACTCATACTCACAATACACATTCAACTGCAGTTTGCTTTCAATGCTAGAATGGTTGAAGTTCGGATGTTCCGCTCTGCACGTAAGAACTTGACCATTATGATCTTTTGATGGCATCCATTGTAGTAACGATTCGGTCTCGTTCGCTTCCGCAACACCCTGTTGTTTAAGAATCATGTAATTTTTTATGAACATGTGGTTTTATACTATTATAGTGCATCTGTGATCGTATTTTGAAGACATTGTTATTACTCTCTGCTATTGAAGCGAATATGTTACATTCCTATAAGTATTTGATGCAATATGCATTGATTGTGAATTCAAATAAACTGATCACTGATTGAGAGGAGATGAATTCACAACCTGTTTTAAGTATTTATTAATTTACTGACTTGCCTTCTTGCCAACATTTTGGTACGTTTTGCTTGTTTAAGGGATAGCGATGTTTATAAGGCATTCTATTTAATGATCATAGATAATATTGTTACTTTTAACAACTTTAGCTTTTATTACCAAAACAGTCAAACCAAGAGTTAACAATGCCTCATAAACTATTTTGTCAGCATTATTTTTCAATGTTTATGTACCACTTACCGAATCTTTAGTGATGGCTTCCAGTTTTTTGCCACCAAGCCACCATGTGATTGTGGCTGGAGGTCTCGCCCCCATCGTCTTACACCACAGCTCTGACTTCCTACCGACAGACAGAGGCTGCTCCCTCGAAATTATTTCTACTCCTAGTGGTTTTACTGCAACAAAAATAATAACGTAATTGATATACTATTTGGAAATAAGTATCATCCTTGTTATGTGTCGTCCTTTGTAATATTGTCTGTGTTGTGTAGGTACATGAAATAATATATAAATAAATCATGATTAAAGTGACGGAAATGTATTTATATCGACTTTACATTACATATATATATTCTTTCAGTTCAGTTCACATACCTCTACATAGTCTATTAATATTTACTTCAACCATTTTCTTTTCAATACAATGGTAAGATGGCTAACATTTTGGAACATTTTCTTTAGATTATTCGTCAGACCTGTCTCAGTTTCCATTAAATAGATATTTGCAAGAAACACTACAAATAAATTCACAAAGCCTTAAATATATCTACAAATAACAGTCCTAGTTTACCACAAAAGCAACCATGACTAGTTCAAGCCTAAAAGAATAATGTACGAAACTAATAAACATTTAAAACAGTCCGGACAAAAAACAAGGCATTTGTATTCACAAATGAGTTCGTGTTGTAATTTCGATAACATCTTTTCACGACAAGGTAACTTTAACTACCAATCAAAAGTTTACCTGAAGCAGTTCATTCTAACCTTTTAGTTAGTGGTTCGCGATACCTCTGATTTACAGTATTTAGTAAAAAATCATAATCAAGATGTTGTTTATGTATTCTGTTTGTGATTTTTATCTGAAGGATTTTTATGGTTGAAGAAATTCATGTTTTGGTGCGTAAATTATAAAGTGATTATAGGTTATGTATAAAGGTGTACATTGTTTGAATATTTTCATACGTAACTAGCTGTTGCCCGCGACTTCGTCCGCAAATAATATGATTCCTATTTTATCCTATGTGAGTATTTAATCGAGATAAAAAGTCAGCCTATCAGTCCTTTGGGCTTACTTTACCTGGCCTGTATACCGAAATTCATCAAAATTCGTTCAGTTTCAGCGTGATTGAAAGACAAACATCCAAACTTCCAAATAAATAAACTTTTACGTGATTTTATAATATTAGTATGACTAGTATCTTTATAACCCTCAAAATAATGCCTGCATTTAATATATTTAAACTACCTGTGTTTCAAAGTTCACAGTCGTATTACTCTGAACTTTGCTATTCGACTATAAATTGACGTAAAAGAAATACGATACGTATGGTAGTTGCAAATAGGTAGATAATATATTGTACATTATATTCAAACTAGAATATGAATGAGTATGTGACATTTTAGCACAGAGGAACTTATAAATACTACTTGAGTACGGACAGTTTTTGATGGCGTCACTGTCAAACTGTCAGTCGTTCTGCCTAGTCCTCGATATTAAATATTCTGACGACCACCAAGGGACTCGGCTTGTGTTTTGTCGTTTTTCTTTTGTTTTTGTTTTAACCTTCAAGCGGGCGCGCGTAGTCGAATCGACCGCGGTTAATACATTTTCGTTCGTATTTTTATTTTTAGTTGCCACATGCATTTCTAATTTCTAGTAGCCTGTCACTATCTTTTTAGGAGTAAAATAAAAACTGTTCCGTTGCTTGAAGCGCTCTCTCCACTCCACAAATTACAATTGTTTAGGCTCTGGCGCAGTCGTTGAAAAGACTACACGCGCCTGTCGTCGAATAGGTTACACGCGACGCTCAACGCGACATACACATGTCAATATTATCTAATTCAGCTTGGAGTTTTGGTGTTTTAAAGCGTTTTTTGTTTAAATAAGTAAGTCGTTTATGGTTATCGCAAAGTGCAGTAATCGAGGAATTACAAAGAGAAGACGAAGAAGAGAGTGAATCAGAGCTTAGCAACCAAGGCTCTGAAACTTCTCATCACATAGTTTTAGAAGAACATCTATCTGATGTGATATCATCCTTGTCGGATTTAGATGAGAATAATTTGTAGCTTACGGAAATAAATAGCTGTTTTACAGGACGCGATAAAGTTACTAAGTAGCAAAATCTGAAAAATTACTAGAATACTGACTCAGACGAAAATAAAATCAAAATTAATGAGTTTTTATCCTTACTTTTTATTTATTTTATGGTCTACGTATATAAACCAACCTAACATATGTAAACGGGTCTTAATTTTTATTTTGATCCGAAGAATATTTGAGATACTTTAGGTGACTTAATAATTGCTTCTTTTTCATAGTTTTAATTACTTGTTCTGACAAATTTCTCTTTAAAGATAATGATATTGTATCTTAGTACAAATTAATAAATGATTATCCCATAGTTATTGCTTTCTTGGTCTTATTCATCCCATAGGTCTATTCGGTTACGCGCGCCCGCTCCCGTTACAAAAGACCGCGCGCCCGCTTGAAGGTTAATAATGAGGGTTTTTTGGGGGTGTCTACTCGTTTGTTTGTAGGTACTTGTGTGAAAGAAGTCTCAAAATAATCTGATATTTCTTTTTTTTTGTTCTTCAATTTATATTAACAATCGAGCTGTTGTGTTTCCTCGTGTGAGGGAGGTTACCAGAGGCTCAATTAACCCCCTCTTCTCCTTAATCTCCCCAACAACTGAATCTTCAAATTTATTATCCCCTAAAGGCCGGTAACGCACTTGTAACGTCTCTGGTGTACCTGGTGTCCATGGGTGATCGCCAACCGTCCAAAAAAAAATCGATTTGTCTGGGTAACAATGCTCGCATTACGAGTGCAATATGCATGTTTTGCATAATATTTACCTATGTCTAAATAACCATTTACTCGACATTCAAAATTAGATACAGAAGAATCACTACAGAAGAGTCGGTAAGTTTTTTTTATTTAATCTGCCTTTACTCAAAACTCGCATACTGCTTGCTAGATATTATTAAAATATTATTTTGTAGATGTTTTAATAAGTTAGTTTTTTTTTATAATGGAAGTGTTACGTTACGTCACACTCTATTTCTCAAAAACTATTACGTCAAGGAGTAACGTCGGAAAGCTATTGGAGAGAAAAATATAATAGCTACGAAGACAGTAAACCAATAATATGTAATTTAACACCTGCTGGCAAGATAACGTATATCTGCAAGTATAATGAAATAGGGAACTTATATAGTATATATTTCGTAACTTATTAATTTGTATTAGGAGAATGACGCATCAAGAATTATGGTTTACTTCCTTATTTGGTACCTGAGTTCATCGTGGACGTGGACTCAAAATATATTACAACATCTTTGGAACTATTTGCAGGGCACGGACAGTTTTTAGAACCATCTACACCGAATGCACAAAAACGGAGTAATATCACTTGTTTTTAAAAATGTGCTAAATGTTTTCATGTAAACTACCAGGGCAACAGAAATGTGCTGAAACTCAAACGACTTACTAGTGAACTTCGAGGAATATCGTCATCTACAATATGATATCATCAAAAATGAACAGCTGAACGTTCCTACACTTTTAAATCTAGTTCCACGGATATATATGACGCATACTTTAATTCTGAAACTTTTATTTACGTAGTCTGAAGATAAAATCCGTCCAACTGAACACCACGTATAACAAAATGGTAGCATTTTGTCGGTTCATGTGTTATAAGCCTTATTCAGAGCAAAAGTCAAGTCTAAAAAGGTTATTGGTTTAGGCCCAGCTCGTTGATTCCGCGAATATTGGTGTTAATGACTCCTAATAACTGTCCGTTATGAGAGAAAGAATATTGCAATACTTGTTCGTTTTTATTTCTTCGATATTTTCTGATATTTGAGCCATTCGGATTTTTGGAGAAACATTTTTCTACATACATACGCAGTACTGTGGAAATTATTTTATTCGCATGCCATTTAAACACATGTTTTATTTTTATTACAATTGTGTTTAATGTAATACAAAAGCAACATTATGTAGGTTAAATCCGTGGGGAGTTATTTACAATTACATTTTTTATGGCCGTAACTGTTTTACGTACCCAAAATGGCTTGAAATTAATGGGGTCTCTCATTATTCTCTTGTGTTATAAAACGAAATATTGTATGATAAAATTAATATAATATTTTTTACACGTATGCCTTATCTAATTTTGTTTATGTTGGATTCCTTTGCAACTTATTTGGAAAACTCTTCTCTTGAATTTGTTATTTATCGAACTCGTTAAGTTATATAGAGGAACACAAAAGAATCGTCAGAATAATAAATGTAGGAATTCTTAGTACAAGAAAGGCAATGCTGCTGAATAATAAAATATGCACTTTTATAGATACTCACAAAACAAATCAATTTTCACAGTAGTCTTCTGTGGCGCAGCTAATAACGTATTATCAGCAGTGCAGGTATACAGGGCTGCTAAATGCGCCCTCGTTGCATTCCTGATGACCAAGGTCAAAGACCTTGTAGGAGGCGAGTAGTCCCCAGCACTCAACGTAGCTAGCACGGTATCATCATGAAGCCACTGAATCCGAGGCGTCGGGTAACCTGAAACAAAAGTTACAATAAGCGATACAACACAATGAGGCTCCTAATGTTCCCAAATAACATTACATCCTACGTAATGAGAACATGATTGTGCTATTTGTTCCACAAATGTAATATCAATTTTTATAGAAACAACATTTCTATTTTACGTAAAAGAATTAGGAGAACAAAAAAAATGTGGATAACTTGGTAAAGTTAAAAAATGTTCGGGAAATATCAAAAGACTGACATCAAAGAATCTGTTGTTGAAGATAGAATGTCCAGGAGGGGAGAAAATAAACGATACATTTCTATCAATTTTATTTGAGTGGATACAATTCTGATGAGTCTGTTCAAGTGATCGTTTGTGTCTTGTTCCCCGTATTTTGTACTGTTTATATTACGTTTGGTGATGGCCGAGAGCCCGCATCTCAAGCACTGGGTCTTGAAACCAAGTACCAATGAGACTTCAAAAACGATTCGGGGATTTTGTTTGTCTTTGACGACATTGACCAGAACGTGAAATAAGTGTGAAGATCAATTGGTACGTTTTCTTTTCGATATCTTGTTGATTATAAGAAGAATCTAAGCTGTTTTACTGACAAACTGATAGTAAATGTATATTCAATATTCAACGTACAACAATTTTATGTATAATTTTGACTTATATTCATGAATTTTAATTTTTAATTTCTTTATTTAAGGACTTCATCATTAGGCATTTGACAAATGTTAATATTCGGACCAATGTGGTACAACTTGACCACTGACTAATTACCCGATTAATATTGTCTATCAAATTAAAGTTGACTAAATGTTTCATAAATTTAATATAATAATTTGACCAAGGTTTAATAAATTAATGTAATAATTAAGTTATATTCTATAATGTAAGGTAATGACTTGACATATTTTTATTGTAATGATTTAACTGATGCAACAAAAAAATTTCGTAATATTTTGAGACTAGTAGAATAATTCAAATAACATAAACTATTGTACACCTTATAGGTATGTTACTATGCTACTATTATAATATATATAACATCTATTGTCAACATGTAACAAACAATAAATGAATTTGAATTTGAATTTGAATACTATATTACCTACATGAATTTATAGACAAGTTACGCTTATTAATATTTAGTTATTTACTTTTATGTAGGTAGGTGCTTGCAATGTGTAAGCTATTTCGAGAAAATATTTTTTTAAAACGGGCTCAGATCCTAAGTATTCATAGCAAACTTTGCTGATTATTTTCTAGAAACATATTTTTTCTTAAACTTAATTTTGAAAACTTCAATCTTTCTTCTTTTCACTACACAAATGTCTTAGTTATTATAATCCGTAGTTTCACCATTTCAACTTTTGAATTCATTTCCCAAGCGAGTCGAAATGTAGATCGAGTTTTCTGCTATAAAATAAACATTTATTGCTCCCCGGTACAAATTACTCTAGATAAGACTGAGATGGAATTGTTTTCTAACAAATTAATACGGTCATTAGTAAATTAGGTATATTTATGTGCTAGACAATTTTAAAGCATGGGTCACATGTCAGACGAGTGGGAGTTAGCAGTTTAAAAGGTTCAGTTTCATCAAAGAGCTTAGGACAACATAGGTTGGGAATGCCCTGCGTGGGCTGAGCAACGCCGTGCCCCCAGGGAAGTGATTGGCGATGGCCTATGGAGTTTCTTGCTCGTTCTTCTCCATAGGAATCTACGCCTTGGAATGAGCAACTAGCTTCACTTATAAATTTTTGTTGTTTGACGTTCAAAAGTGCCATCCTGGTCTAATTGAAATAAATAATTTTGACTTTGACTTTGACAACGTCTCGCGTTCAGTCCTAGTGCGGGTCATGATGCGGAGCGAGGGGGTGTGGGATGCCGTGACAAGCAAGCTAAGGAGGAGGCAGGGTGTATGAGGCAGCGTAGCGCTGCCGCCTTACAACCCAGCCCTAGTCGCGAAGGATACTCCGGGCGTCGGGGTCGGGACTACCACGGATAGAGCCCAATAGGGCTAATGCCGATACGGGTTCGCGGAGAACTTAAAGGGTTACCGGGGCTCCGGCTCGAAGTGCAGGAGTAGGAACGGTGTGGTTTTTAGTCAGTAAGAGTCTGACACTCCCTCCCGCCTCACCCAGGCGGAGAAGACATTCGATGATTTTCCCCCTTAAAAAGAAGCTTAAGGTTTTAGGGCATCATAATAATAATATTTTTAATATTAAATGCTCGTTGGCCGAGTGGTCGCAAGTGCGACTGCTGTGCAAGAGGTCTCGGGTTCGATTCCCGGGTCGGCTGAAGTACTACTAGGTTTTAAAAAAATCCCCCTAGTAGCACGGAGTCTTGAATTGAGCCTGGTACAAAGCAATAGGGTTACCGTCTATTACATGGGGCTCATAAGGTAACATGAAAAGAGGGTGTTACATTTTACAGTGGCATTGAGTGGCATAATGTGCACCTCTGCCTACCCCTTCGGGAATAAAAGACTTGATGTTATGTATAACGATACCCTACAAAGATAAACTTATTTTAATTTGTTGCTTGTAGTATTGTACTTAAATGTTTTATTGTATGTTTGTGATGGACCTACCTCCTTTAACGGAGCATATCAGCTTGAATTCTCCTCCTTCGTGGTAGGGACCCGCAGTTCCCGATATTTCTTTCCCGTACTCATCGAAGATGACAGGTTTACTTGGAAGTTCTGTAAAGAAATACAATATTTCAGTTCCCATAAACATCCACGTGAATCTTAAGATCTTTAATGTTTATTCATTTTTAAAACAGATTTTTTATTTTTGATTGAATGTCTATATATTATATCTATATATCAAGAATCTATGATTCATTGATCATAGGTCCAAAACAAAAGCCAAAAAGAAAATCTCATGGGCGGCGCTGATCGCTTACCATCAGGTAATCCGTCTGCTCGTTTGCCTCCTATTCCATAACAAAAAAAAAAGAAAAAAGATAAATACTAACGTTACCAGCGCAAAATATGAAAATCTCACGATGGCATCAAACTTCGACATAATTTTGTAACAATAAAATTAATAACAAAAGCAAGTTACTAGTGACACGAAGTCGCGATTACGTCACTTTAAATAACTCCACTCGTTGAGCCGCAAGTATTTAATGGCTGGTTATAAAAGGGTTATTACCTCCGTTGTTAGATTGAATCAAAAAATTGCACTTAAAGTTGCAACCCGTTTTTAGCACAACGAATTGTTTTATGCACGATATAGCTATGCAATTTCTATGCAATTTATAGTATAATAATTTTAAGAGCTGTGTTGAAAATTGTATGTTTTGTTCTCGTCCAAAGTTCTATTGTTGAATGTTATGTATTGGTTTACAATTGAATTCAAATAATTAATTTGGCAATCTTATTAGTTTTAATTGCGAAACTTATTAAAGGTAGACAACACACTATGTTACTAAAGAATTTAATTACACCAGAGTTAAAACACAAAAAAACAACAAACAGTAGATACGTCCCGAATACGCTAGGTCATTTTAATCCTTGCAAAATGCAAGTTACTAAACAGATAATTCCAATAATACTTCCATACGCTCATTCGCCCTAACAGCCCCATAAATTTACAAGTCAGAAACCGAAATATTCAAAACTCGATTACAGTCGAATCACTCGATACAGTCGGTATCGATTCACGTGATCGAAAAATATGCGGATATGCCATCATCGGCAGATATCCCCCATTCTTGCGCCCGAATACCGGGAAAATTCTCATTTCAGTCGGCCCGCACTTATGTGTAAGGTACGAAACAATGAACGGGTGGCAGATGTTCATTTTAGTAAGCGATACCGTTGCACGGTATGGGTATGAAAGCTTCGGATGATTGCCGACAACCTCCTCTGAATACTAGTAACGCAGAACCTTTTGTTTTGACTCGACGAAAATATTTTCATTTCCTCGACCACGTTCGGGCGTACCTAGTTTGTGTGTTTATGTATCCCTATTTGAGAATATTCGTTGAGTGCCTTTTTGCGATTCACCGCGTACTGATTTCATTTTGATTGTGAATAAATTTTCAACGATAACATGGGTAAGCACTATTGTTTTTGCGTTGTATTTCGTGTCGAGTGTATTGATTTGATTGTTCTGTTATTAGTAGCAACATACGTAACAATTGTTTTTGTTTTTGCTGGATTTATATTTCGACCTTTGGATCTTCTTATTTTATTGTATGGTGATAAAATGATGATGTTTTGTAATTAGACATTGGGTTTTTGTTTTGAGTATAATAATGTTCAACAAAACGAACTATTAGTTATAACATCGAATTTTAATAATTACATCAATTTTAAATTAACATAAGCGACATAGCGCAGACTACTGTTCTACTAGTACAGCTTTTCTCAGTATGTTCACATGAGTAACCAGCGATTTTTAGTTAATATAATGTTTACAAATTTTAATGGTTTAAATTACTTTTAATATCATTAAATCGTTTACTGTAAGTTAAGTTACAACAATCAATGTTTGTTATTGGAATTTATTCCTTAATATTATTGGCAATAAAACCTGTCTCCTTGAAGTTATATAATTTACTAGACAAATTGAAGGATGTCACAAAAAGAAAACGGAATCACAGTCGGTAACTAGCTGTCAGTTATAATTTGCTCGAATTTCTATAAAATAGGCAGATATAGAGACGATTAAAGTACCTAAAGGAAAATGATTTATCGGATATTTTGACGACTAACTGAATTCGCAACTTCGTTTGTGTTATTCTAAAATAAAAGTATCTGTGTCACTCCTTAGTACATTAACTACCCGTCATTAAAAGTTCCGTCAAAATCGGTCCAGCCATTTCAGAGAAAACTAAAAGACAGACAAGATTTATAAAAAGTGTTATTTTGGTATATTATTATGTATCCTATGTGTTTTGACATGCATGTAGTAAATGGCGGTTATTTCAAATATATTCAAATTTTTGTGAGGATCGGATAGCAACACAGACACAAAAAGGAAAATTATTTAGTAAGAAATTGGTAGGTAACAACACCTACCAATTACTCCAACTATATTGACGTTACTTACTGGTAAATAAATCAATTAGTAAAGGCTTATTGAAACAACTGATTTAACTCGTCGAGTACCGGCTTTGTAGACACAATTATAGAACAATAGGTTGCGGTTACCGGTGACCGCTTGGTGGTTGACAGTTTAAGAAAAAGCTGCAGTTACGCGTGGCTCTTGAATTAATAAGACTGAAGCGCGTGGTCAAATATTCCGTTAAATTAGCGTATACTTTCGAGCTTCCAACATAATGTCTATATCATATGAAATAACAAACACGACTTGGGTGTCTTCAAGTCCCGAGTGAATAGGTCACATCATCGCTTACCACCAGGCGAATTGGTGGACAAACGACAACCTATCATGTATAAAAAAAATTTGGAATCGTACTTAAGTCCACCGATACGTAATAAGAAAGATAAACAGAAAATTAGTTATTTGTCTGTCGTAAGGATGCAAACAAAACGGAATATCGAAATATACTTGCCGAAGTCAATTTTTCCAGTTTAATTGACCTCGGAAATTACGAATTGACTTGTATTTTTGTATTGTATTTTCTATTCAGAATCTATTGGTTTATCCTTCTATTCATAACAGGTGAAAAGTTGGTACAACGAAAGCCCCAAATATACCTCTTTATTTACCTTTTTGAAAAATAACAGAGGGAAAAACCTTTATTAGAGTATTGACTAACAAAAATACTGCTAACATTTCCACCAAAATTTTTCCTTCAACACTCTCGAAAATGAAATCTCATACATAAAGTAAGTACGAACCGCAACCACTAAAGCAAAAGGCAGCAAAATGTGTTTCTTTTTCTTTCCCAATAAAAAAGTTTCCGTGAAAAAAGTTCGGTCGTCCGTTTAACTTTTTCGTGTTGATTTCGAGTCAGATAGAGGCAAGAAACGGGTCAGAACCCCATTTAACATCTGATATCGAGGAGTTTCATTATATAGACGTCTTTATGTACACCACGCGAAGATTTCCCTTAATAGATTCTATTAGCTGAACAAAGAAACGTAATCATAGCTAATTAATTAAACATTTTCATATTCGTGTGTGCTTAGTGTGATCTTGTTAATGGTATTAATTTTGAAATTGGGTATTAGTGGCTGTCTTGTTGGTTTAGAGTTTGGTAGTATAAATTCTATGTAGATACAAGTTTCTATTATCTTACAAGGCCAAAGTATAACGTGGTTGTTACATTTTTCACTCCATCTTAGAGAGCTTAGATACAGTTTCCGCTATTGACAAACTAATTTTGACGGGCACGGTTCGTGTGGTAGCTGGGTTTGATTCAAGTATCTGGGTGCAATGTGTATGTTTGCAAACACACCCACGACACAAGAGAAAATCCAGCGTAGTTTCTTTTTTTAATGACATTTCAATTTCAGTCGTAATCGCAGTATGTAGACTTTACTTTAGACTCCTAAAATAGTATTGATGCTAAATGGCAGCCTCATTTATTATTACACTCAGACTTGAACCAAAAAACAGAGCACTTTATCTACATTGCTACCTTTTCAAAGAAAACTTCTACCGTCACATCTTTTCCTTCCCTATTATGTATTTGTTAAAGTAACACAGTACACATAAACAATAGCTTCACGAAACACAATAAAGTCGACAGTAAATTATCTATTTGATAATTGAATGAATCGAATTCGTGCCCTCTTTGATACAGGATATGAGGAAGTGACACATAAAGACGTTATTACTTTTGTAAACAAAGATGAGTCGGCGAACCTCGTGAAGGAAATGTTTTAATGGTCTATTTTTGGGAAGGTTCAATGGTTTCTTCGAAGTACAGACAGTGGGTGGTGTGATTTATTATTTTGAATAAGTGCTAGCAATACTAGTTTTAGAATGATAGTTGCAGTATCGAAAAAGAAAGAAAGGAGGTTCTCAGTTCGACCTATATGAATGTATGTATGTTCGTGAGTAATTATCTCGCGATTAGCAGAACCATGCTTCGGTTAAGTCTAGTTAAGTGTCGGAGAGCCATGCTTCGTAACGAATGGGCCGGCTCGACCGGAGTGATATCATTGCCTCACAGAAAACCGACGTGAAGCAACGCTTGCGTTGTATTTCGTCGTGTGAGTGAGGTTACCGGAGGCCCAATTACCCTCCCCTTCCCCAATCTCCGCAATTCCTGAATCCCCAACGATCCTCAAACTCCTAATTCCCAAAAGGCCGATAACGCAATTGTAACGCCTATGGTTTTCCAGGTGTCCATGGGCGACGCCGATTGCTTACCATCAGGTAATCCGTCTGCTCATTTACCGGCTTATGCCATAAAAAAGACGATTTTGATGCAGTTTTCAGAAAGTGTTTTTTACACTTAGGTCAACGTTTTGTTGTATTAATTAACGGACTTCCAAAAAAGAGGGGTTAAAGTTAGTTCTTTTAAACGTTTATTGAAGAATTATTAGTGATATTGACTTGGGTTTTTCTTTGCCAGAGACAACGAATCATGGAATATGCTTAAGATTTGGGATGATATTAGACAATTATACGTTAAGTATTGGACAGACTAACTTTCAGAGTACTGCTAAATGTTTTTTGTAAATTTCCGTAAAATAAACAATGTATCAGTAATAATCAAACCAAAAATAAATCAAAATCTTTTATACTATTTATATATTTTTAGAAGTAAAAT